GGCGTGGGGCCCACCGGGGTCGGTTGGGGGGCCATTTGGGTTGGGGACGAAATGGGGGGGCCAGGCGGGCGTTTCCCCCACCACCCCTTCGCCCCCACGGCTTTGCCCAAAAATAACCACAGTTAGGGCAAAGATTTTTGCAAAAAAGGGGGGAAAAAAAACCCTTTCAGGCTGAGGGGCCCACGGGCCAGGTTTTTTTGCCACCATAGTAAAAGGCAAAGCGGGGACCGGGGAGGGAGACGCAAGGGGTTTCCCCACATCACACCAGCGTGGGGACCTTAAAAAAAAAAATTGGGAAAAGGGAAATAGCCATTAGTTTCCCAGGGGTGCAGGGGGCTTTTTTAAACATACAGAATTAAAATTTTGGGCAAGTTCTGGGACCCCCACCCGCTTTTAACTTGCCCAGACCACAAATCTCCTACGGGGGAATCACTAGAAATCCACGAATCAAAGGGGGGATTTGGAAGAGCCTCACGTGGCCAGTCCAGGGGGGGTTCCAAAAAACCCCCCCTTTTGCCAAGAAGGCAGGGAAATTTTGCCAATTTCCAAACAGGATATGGGCCAACCAAAAGGGCCTCTTGTTTAAAAACAAAAAAGCTTTCCAAAGGGAAAAGAAGGAAAAGCCCCTTTAACCACCCCCCCACTCCGGGGCAAAGGAGAAGGTTCCCAACTGCTGGAAAACGGCCTCTTCACAGTCAAGGGGGAAAGTTTGGTGGTAAAAAAAAAAAACTGTTTTAGGTTTGGAAAGCTCTTAAGGCTTTTGCTGCCCCAAAAAAGAATATTTTGATATTAATGATGGACCAGAAACGAAAATCTTCACACTTTGGGAGGCAAATTAAACAAGTGGATTGTCAAACAAACTGAAAGGGATTTCTACCAAAGTAAAATGGCCCAACCAACCTTTGTATAAATTTCAAAAAAAAAATAGGGAATATTTTACTGTCTTTTTGGAACACAAGGTCACTTGAACTCCAACTAGCATAATCGGTTTGTGAGTGCAAAAAGAACGGTAAAAAAAAGGTAAAAAGGTTTTGCCCACTGAACCATTTTTAAGTTTTCCAGTCCATGTTTTTTTCCATTCAAAAGTGGCAGGTTTATCTGCTTTCCATTCTTTTTTTTCTAAAGGGCCAAAGGAAGGGCCGGCGGTTGTCCTGTTAGGGACATCCCCAAAGGGTTCTCGTGGCCGGGGCCATGGGACTGGCATTTGGGGAGCGGCCCACCCATACCATTCTTGTGGGAGGCTGGTTTTAACCCTATTGAATACTAATGCACCATCTACCCATGGTTTTCCAAAAACAACAAAAAAACTTGTAAGGTTTGTAGCACTAGGGATTGTTGCTTAAACAGTTGGGGGGAAAAAACCTTCCAATTTTTTCCTGTTTTCCCCAGGATATGGGAAAAAAAACTGCGACCTTTCGAATTCAGCAAAGTTCAAGCAAGCTTCCCTAAAGCGGGTTTACACACCCACTTGGTGCTACCGGGGGTTCCCAAGGTCCAAAAGGGGAAAAAAGGGGAATGGATAAGTTAAAAAAAACATCATTTTTAGTATTAAAAAAAAAAAACCAATCATGGGAATAATTGGGGCATTACCAATAAAACACATTTTCATGGAAACAAAGCCACAATGGTTTGTTGTAGGGGTTTTTTTAGGCCTGTACGGGGCCATTGTTTGAGAGGCATTTTCTCTGGGGACGTTTTTGGCCTTGCTTTCTGAGGGGTATTGCTTGGCCCCACAGGAATGAAGGCGGAAAAAAATTGTTCAAAGGGGAGAAGAAATGCTTCGTAGGAACATGGGGGGCCATTTAACAGGGCCGGGAAAAAAAAAAAACCTAACAACAAAAAAAACAAACCTCCCTAATCTATATAAATAAAAATGTAATGCTCGTTTGTGGGATTAACAGAACTCAAAAACCACTGGACGAATTGACACCAAATTTGGACACAAGACACCTAACACCCAATGTATGTCCTTCACTCAAAAAAAATGATTTTGTCATTTGGGAGTTGTAGTTGCTGGGATTTATAGTTCACCTACAATCAAAGAGCATTCTGAACCCCACCAATGATGGAATTGAACCAAACTTGGCACACAGTTCTCCCACGACCAACAGAAAATACTGGAAGGGTTTGGTGGACAGTATCCTTTGGTTTTGGAGTTGTAGTTCACCTACATCCAGAGATCGACTCAAACAATGATGGATCTGGACCCAATTCTACACAAATACTCAATATGCCCAAATGTGAACACTGGTGAAGTTTGGGGAAAATACAATCTTGACATTTGGGAGATGTAGTTGCTGGGATTTATAGTTCACTACAATCACAGAGCATTCTGAACCCCACCAACGATAGAATTGGGCCAAACCTCCCACACAGAACCCCCATGTGGGCCACAGCAACGCATGGCAGGGGACAACTAGTTCATGAATAAAGAAACAAATACCTGTGGTTCCCAGTGGGCACAAGCAACGGAATTCACCAGAGATCCTGATGCAGGTTCCTCCGTTAGGACACTTTCCCCTTGGAAGGCACTGAAACCATAATGATTATAAAAACATTGATAGCGTACACCATACAGACCCAGATTTGCTTTGCTAGCAATCAGCTGCAAGATTGTTATATGCTCCAGAAATGGAAATCTATGACTCTCCCTACTAAAGAACTTTGGATTCTGAAGATCTTGAAATGGCTGGCTTTGAATCACACCCTAACAAAGGTTGTCATCCCTGCTTCCAAATTTTCCCAAGGTCTTTCAGATACAAGACACAGTATCCCCATGTCATTTCCATGCTCACCTGACAGTTAAACCCTCCAACCGGATCTGTGCAGTTATCTCCATTCAGGCTTGATTGCTGTTGGCATCGAGAGCCAGTCCAACCCGGGGGGCAGAGGCAGTGGAGGGCAGAGTCTTTTACGACACATTGGCCTCCATGTCCACAGGGGTCTGTTGTGATGGACAGATACAGGCACAGAGAGTGAAAATAAGATATAGCCAGCCCTCCTGAAAAAGTGAAAGGCCACTAAAAATACTTGTATATTTCTTTAGGCAGCCAACTTGGCATATATACCAATCATGACCAACTGAATATACAATCAGGGATTGGAAATAATCGACCCAGAATTATGGGGGGGGAGGGTTGTTAGTTACAAAAATCCACATTCCCAAAAAAAAAAATGGACCCATTGTGTTAGCCTTAACTCCACATTTCCGTTGAGTATTTCTTTTCTAAATGGGGACCATTTCCTTGGGGGGCCCGTAGGCCCAAGGATTTTGTTTTCGGGGGGGGGGGGCGGGGCTTTTGGTTTCTGGATTTTGATTCAGGGGAGCTGAGTCTTGGAGAAAAAGAGGGTCTACCCTAAAACGTTTTGTATCATTATCCCAATACCCCCATGCATATGGATTATATTGAGCATGGTGATCAGATCATGATATGAATAAACATAACAGTTTAAATAATGTACCAGTAAGGCCTTCTCGCGGACCACTATGAGAATTTCGGGGGGGGGGGGGGGGGGCTGAAGCTACATGCCTGGCTACATGCCTGGACCATTCATAAAACCCAAAACCAAAGAATGACTACTTTTGTAATAAAGTAAAATTACAAAAATAATAATTAACAAAAAATAAAGGGGGGAACTGGGGAACCCCCAGGGCAATTACTTGGAAAAAAAAAAACGTGTTCCTGAGAAGGGTGGGAACCAAAATGGTTCAAAAAGGTTGTTGCAATGCAATTGAGAGGATGTCTCTATTAGAATTCATTTTGATTTAGTAATATTTTTTTTGCAGTTATAGGGAGACCAATAATTATGATTTAAAAGAAGTTCTAGGCAATGGCTAAGCATGCCACCAAAAAAAAAAACTAGGTGGTTTTGCTTGATTGTTTATCAAACTAGACATTATTTGAAAAAAAAAAAAGTTCTGTTGGTTGGAAAAAAAATTTTAGGAACCTCGACCAAAAAAAAAAAAACTTTTCAAAAAAAAAAGTTTTATTATTACTGGCAAGATGTTATTTGCCTTCGGTCAAAAAAAAATCACAATTAATTGAAATAATAATTGAAAAATTTTGGGGGGGGGGAAAGTGGTTTTGGTTAAGGAGGTTCTTGAAATTTTCAACCACCAGGAAAACATTAGCAACACCTTAGGGGGGAACGCAAAGGGGCTACAAAAAAAACTTGCCCACCCTCTAGTTCTTGTAAAAGTACCCTTTAGAACAAAAACCATTTTGAATACCATGGAATTGCCCATGCAAAACTGGCGTTAGGTGGCTTAAATCTGAAGGTGAGAGAAAGTGTTTGAGGGTAGTGATGTTTTAAAACAATAATTTGGAAAGGGGTGATGTTATATGGAAAGGGGGCAAGGGCTTCCTTTGTCCTGGTCCCTCCAGGGGGGAATGGGGGGTTGAAAAATGGGGGGGGGATTGGGGCCCCTTAGGGGGGGGGGAACCCCTTCCAAAAATCTATGGCCTCGATGAAAATCTGGCTTCCCAACATACTCACTGGTGAAACAAAAAGATCTAGGAATTAAATTGGCCACTTAAAGCCCAGGCGTTACAAACCCTTTGGGCAAAAGGGGGCAACGGGGGAAAAAAGTTCCAGGGGGCTGGTTTAATAAACAGGGATTCCAGAGTGGAAAAGGGCAGGGGGTTCTTGCTGGCAATTCGTTTCCCCACATCTTCTTCAAACATGGTTTTTTGGTCCCGGGACGGTTGTGGAAAAAAGAACAGACTTAATAAAAAATGGTGATTGGATTAGGATAAAGTGTAGGGGAAAAGTCTTATCAGGGCTAGGGGGAAGAAGACAGGGAAATTGCTTTGTGAAATCCAAAGGGGGGCTTGTAGCCACCAAGGTGGGTGGTGGGGGTTGGGTGGTAAGGGAGTTTTCAAACCCCTCCCCCAAAAAAAAAAAAAAAAAATTGGTACAAAAAAAAAAAAAAAAAAAAAAAAAAAAAAAACTTGGGTTTTACGCCCATAAACTTTAACTGGGTTAAAAAACCCAAAAAAATCCCCAGTTTGCTAAAGTTCTATGAAAGAAGCCAAAAAATTTAAATGAGGGTCCCTCCCAGAATTTCTGCAAAAGCCCACTAATCTCAAAGCAAAACTATTTGGGGACAAAAGTATTTCACCCAAAAAACCTTTATTCACATTGTCATTACTTACAGCAATAGCCAATATAGTGGAAACAACCAAGTTGGCCCACCCATAACTGGCAGGCAAAGCCTAAGGCACCGCCGGGGGGGGGGGGGGGGGATTTGAAGGCCCTCATGAAGGAGACCATATTTGGTGGGGGCGGTTGAGAGGGACAGAGCTGCAGAGTATTTAAGGCTGCTCTGCCCCCCTGCTGTGCTCTTTACTTCAGCGTGAGGTAGGAGGCAGGTTCCTAATTTTTTTTTGTCGTGTCAGGATTGACTTGAGAAACTGCAAGTCGCTTATGGTGTGAGAGAATTGGCCGTCTGTAATGATGTTGCCCAGGGGACGCCCAGATGTTTTGATGTTTTTACCATCCTTGTGGGAGGCTTCTCTCATGTCCCTGCATGAGGAGCTGGAGTTGACAGAGGGGGCTCATCCGCACTCTCCCTGGATTCGAACCTGCGACCTGTCAGTCTTCAGTCCTGTCGGCACAAGGGTTAAACCCACTGCGCCATGGGGGGCTCTTAATGGTTCCTAAAGGAGAATTATAAGGCCTTTCCCTCCTTGCTCCCCCTCCCTCCACTTTAGTAGATAGTAAAGTTCCCATTGCTAGGCCTATATGTAGGTCGTTTTCAATTCTTAAACATTTGAAAACATACATAAGAAGCACAATGGGGCAAAAAAGACTGGCTGGACCAACTGTGGGGGGGGGGGGGACTTGTCCATCAAAAAAAAAAAGTTTTTTCAGTGGAGGCCTGTTTTCTGGCAAAATGGTATGACACAGGTTTAAAAAAAAGTTGTTTTTTTGTTTTTTACCAATTAAACCAAGTTTTCATTTTCTGTTATTTTAAGGACTTGAAACAAACCTTTGTTAACTAAAAAAAATTGGGGGGAAAATGACATGTCTATACAAAAAAATCTATACCAAAAAAAATAAATAGAAGAAAACAAAACACATACTGTTTAAATTATTTTGTGTTATTGAAATACTCTCCACTGAACTACACTTGCTTACAAAAAAGGTTTCAAAAACATTTCCCCCCCCCCACCCATGTTTTTGTTATGTGATTTTAAATCATGGCCCTGGTTGTGATCATGACGAAATTCAGCTGCTCAAGGAAGGAGATGGGGTTCAGAATGGGGAGGGGGGCAGGAAGGCTTACCTTGGTAGCCACTGGGGCAGAGGCAACTGAAAGTACCTCGTTGGCTAATGCAAGTGCCCCCCTGGTAGCAGGGGCTGGAATCACAGGCATTGATCTCTGTGCCACAGTCTTCTCCAGTCCAACCTGGTTGACAGAAACAATGCAACCTGGAGGGACAGAGAGGGAGAGAAAGAGAAGGGGGAATGAAGTGGGCAAGGGTGATAGGGAGAGAGGGGTGAGAGAGAGAGAGAGGAGGGATTAGGTCAACAGTCCATGGATTTGTAGTCCCAACTTTTACAACATAAAGCTCAGGAGAAGTCAGCATAATTTTTCATTCTGAAAGCCTGTTCCACCCCCTACCTTGACCCTGCCCCATCCATACCCAGTTTCCGTTACCTGGCAAGTACCTCCATTGAGGCACTGCCAGTTCTGACAGGGATCGCTGAGCTCTGCACAGAGGGGTCCCGTGAATCCTGGAGAGCACATGCATGTGAAGGAGCCGGGACTGTTCACGCAGGTCCCGTGGATGCAGGGGCTGCTGTGGCATAAGTTGGCCTCCCTCTCGCACTGGTGTCCCTCGAAACCTGCAGAAAGGGAAACCTTGACACTGACATTGGTCTCAAGACTTGCTTAATTTGTGCTTTTCTACTCCTCAGAAGTCAAAACCTGAAAATAACCAGAAGACCATCCATGTTCGAGATGGGATCATCCAAGACTAAACAGACATTCACTCAGAGCCAGAGGAATATATGGTAAACAGTTGTTGAGGTTTTGACATATTTGGAATTGATTTTGCATAGGTTTGGTTAAAATGTTTTATTTTCTAGGAATCTCTAGGTCCACTAGTGCACTTTCATTTCATATTTGCTTATAGAATCATGCTGGAGGACTTAGGAAGTCCTAGAACAAACATCTATCACTTTACCCCAATAACTACAATGCTGTGTGACTCTACAATCAGCTTTCTCCAATCATGCTGGAGGGTCTTGAAATTTCTAGAGACAATGAATGGGGATAGCTAGTTGTATATTTGTGCATAAGTCAATCTTCTGTATATATATTGAGAGCAAGTTATGGGGCCAAAATTATAGATTTTAATATGACCCATGGATAAGTTGAGAGGGAAAGCCACAGCAACTCCTCAGGAGACCAGGTATTCTTGGCTGTCCTGACATTTTCTACTTGTGTTGTTGAAGGCTTTCATGGCCGGAATCACTGGGTTGCTGTGAGTTTTCCGGGCTGTATGGCCATGTTCCAGAAGCATTCTCTCCTGATATTTCACCCACATATATGGCAGGCATCCTCAGAGGTGAGGTTTTTCTACTTGGGTAATCAAAAATGACACCATGGCAGAGAAAGGAAAGGGAGTCAGTACTTTTTTTAATTCTCTTGTGACAGCCTAAGCTTTTGTCTCTCGGGGAATGGGGTAGTTCCAGTCCTGTCATGGTTCAATACTATGGAATCACAGGAGTTGCAGTCTGGTGAGGCACTTGAACTCTTCAGGAAAGAAGGTTAAATACCTCATAAAGATACAACTCCCATGTTTCTATAGAACTGAGCCATCTATAGCTCTCCCTACAAAAGAAGTTTGGATTCTGAAGATCTTGAAATGGCTGGCTTTGAATCGAACCCCAAAAAGGTTGTCATCCCTGCTTCCAAATGTTGCCAAGGTCTTTCAGACACAAGACAGAGTATCCCCGTGTAATTTCCATGCTCACCTGACAGTTAAACCCTCCATGGCAGTTAGTGTCAAAGTGCATTGATATTATAATAATCATAATAATAGTAATAACACTTTATTTGTATTCCGCCCTATCTCCCCGAGGGGACTTAGGGTGTATTCCAGCATATACAGACACAGGCAAACATTCAGTGCCTCAAAACAATGACACATAGCCACACAGATAAAGGTAAAGGCTTCCCCTTCATCTCTGGTCTCAGGGGTGGTGCTCATCTCCATTTCTAAGCCAAAGAGTTGATGTTGTCCATAGACACCTCCTGGGTCATGTGGCCGGCATGACTGCATGGAGCGCCGTTACCTTCCTGCCAAGGCGGTACCTATTGATCTACGCACATTTGCATATTTTCGAGCTGCTAGGTTTGCAGGAGCTGAGGCGGGAGCTCGCCCTATTCCGTGGATTCAAACTAACAACTTTACGGATCAGCAAGTTCAGCAGCTCAGTGGTTTAACTTGTGCCACCGGTTTAACCCATTGCACTTACAGTGTAGATGCACCCTTCAAGTCATTTCTGACTAATATTGGCCCTAAGGTACATCTATCACAAGGTTCTCTTGATAAGATTTGTTCAAAGAGCACTTGCCTTTAGGCTGTTCTGAAGCTGAGAGTGTGTGACTTATCAAAGGTTACCCAGTGGACTTTCCATAGTTGAGGGAAATGTGAACCCTAGTCACCAAAGTCATAGTCAAACACTCAAATTACCACTTGCACTCTCTATTCTGTGTTTCTACAATTTTGAGAAACCATAAATGAGTGTATGTACAAGACTGAACCTTCCACCATGAAATATTCTTGGTTCCCTACTAGCTATTAATTTCATTTCAATACTGCTATGGTGGCAGCTTTCCCATTTAATCTGGAAAATATTGGTAATCCTATGCCCCATGTCACTAACTGGATGACCCCAGTTAAAGGTACACGAGGAACTGTCTTTCCAAATGTCTTCTGATCCTGATTTCTATCCCACCCACCCGTTCTTCTCACACACATACTCAGTTACCTGGTGGGCAGGTGCAGTGGACAATCCCCATTGAACTCTGGCACTGGCCCCCATTCCTACATGGGTTACTGGCACAGCCATCCACTTCCCGCTTGCATCGAGGTCCCTCGAAGCCTAAATAGAGCAGGGCAAAAGAAGAAAGGGCATTACAATAAAACTTTGGAATGGCTAAAAAACAGAAATCTATGTAGAATACAGGTGACTCAACCAGCTGTTTGGCTCTTGTGTTTCTTTGGGGTTGAGGAGCTTCTTAACTTACCAGGGAGACACTTGCAGGTAAATCCTTGGCTTTGTTGGAGGCAGGTTCCTCCATTGAGACAGTGGTCTGTGACGCATTCTTCCACTTCACATAATGGCCCACTAAACCCTGGAGTAAAAATTGTTTTTATTGTGTAGTTGAAGACTTTCATG